CCCCCCGCGCCCCGCACCTCGTCCGGGCTCAGGTTCTCGCCTTCCTGACCGGTTCACAGGGGCTGGGGCAGGGCGGGAGGCTGCTCTGTGCCCCTCGACCCAGGAGAGGCTTTGAAGGAGTTCTGGTAGTGCTTGGGTTCAGTCTACCCGACTGGACAGTTTTCCTACAGGTAGCCGGAGTGATGAGTCCAAGATCCACACATAAGAAGTAACCGATAGAAAACGCTTAAAAAAACTGGGTTTGGCCACTTGTTGCCAAACGTTCCTGGTTTTGGTTTAAGTATTACAGATGAAAACTAGTTTAGACCTCCTGTGCATATGACTTTAGAATCAGAAGTAAAAATCTGTATTCCTTTAAGTGAATAAATCCCCTTTGTTCACTTCATCTAACTGAACGCATTGAACAAGTCAGAGCTTAATTATTCTTCTGTACTAACCTATTTAGTCGTTAAAAAAAAAAAGAGTGAAAAAAAGTGTACAGATGAGGATGAACTGAGAGACCTCTATCAGTTTCAGTGAGGCGGGATTCAATGTACCAATCTTCTCCACTCTGCTCATCAGCAGGTGATTATCTTTTCTGTTAGATTTTCAACAAACTCCATGACCTTCCAGGATAGGCACTTCTGCTGTTTTATTATTTGTATGGCTTGCAATTACATCTCACCTAAACCTCTGTTACAGCATTAAGTCAGTGTCGTCTTGTGGATATAGAGAATGCTTGCTCCTTGTCTTTAAGCGAATGTTTTTAGTCTAAAGGCTATCATGTGTTTTTGTATTTTTGGATCCTTCAGTTTCTCTTTATGGTGGCATATGTTATGTCTGTTATACTTCCTTGGTGGTATTTTTCACCCAATTTTTGTCCATTTTTTTGTTAACATGGCAAGCAAAAGTAGATATGAGGTCTCACCAGTGCCAGCTAGTGTCAAAATTGTGTCTGAACTATGGCTCTCTTGTTAAACACCCAGAATAGTATTTATCTAGTGATATTGTTAACACACGCAACCCAGGCAAAGATTTGTAAACTTCCATGGAAGTTAAAAGTTCTTGTTTCTATTCAAGAGCAGTAAAACAGTGCTGGGTCTGCAAATCAAAAGGCAGATCAGTCTTTTCACTCAATAAAAACTTCCAGGTCCTTTTTCCTTCGCCCCTAATTTGCCCTGTTTGTGTCTCCCCAGCTGCAGCATCCAAGTGCTGAAGTGAGAGAGTATGCCTGTGCCAGTATTTCCAAGCTGTTGCAGCAGAAGCATGTAATCCCAGCCTTTCTGCAGAGAGACGTTGTCCGATGTTTAGGACCATTGTTGATGGATCACAGTTTAGCTGTTCGTGAGACAGCTGCAGGTGCTCTCCGGTAAGTGATGGTTAATATTCAGTTAGAATGAGGTAATCCTGACTTGGTAAAGAGTGGGGTTTTGCTGTTAAAAGCCAAGAGCTTGAATGCCCGCCTCTCTTGCTTTAACTCTGTTTTGAGTAAGTATGCCTACGTCAGTCGAAGTCCCCGAGAGAGGGGCTTTTCTTGCTCCAGTAGGCTGCCTTGAGACTTTAATGTCGGGAGCAGGGTTTAAGTTAGTTACTACGGTTTTATCTACTCCTAGTGGAAAGTGCTGCTTTCCATCCTTATGTTAAGAAAAAAAATCAACAGTAGTATGAAGAAATATAGAGAACTTCAGTGCTGTTAGTATGGCATTTTGTGTCTTGGTAACACTGTAGGAGCAGTGGGTTAGAGAATGCACATAGCTGACTTTTTGAGAAACTTGTAAATATTGAACAGCATCATTTTGAGTTAGTATTCTGCGGTCAGACCTACAGCTTGCTTTATTTGTACAAAAATATAATGATACTTGTTAACATTCATGTTGTATCCTACATTGAGTAATATCTGACAGAAGTCATGTTTTAGTACAGATAAGCTTTCTAGTTAGACTAGACAAGTAAGTGAAAATAATTTTTTTTTTTCTGTAACACCAAAGTTATTCTTTTATGATGGGAAGGTAGAAGACTAAAGTTACTGATTAAGCAGATTGATTTTAAAACAAAAAGTACCATAACCTTTAGAGAAGAATACTGAATGCATGAGTTTTTTTGAAACTTTCCTGGAAAGTATGTATCTGATCCAAAGCATTTTTTTTTCCCAGAAATCTGAGTGCTTGTGGAGGATTTGAAGTCTGTGATGACATGGTGACAAAGGACATCATGACACCCCTTGTAGCACTTCTGAAAGAGGTGTGTTTATTTTTATTCTGATTTTAAAACAGATCTAGCCATTGTATTATCCCATTTTCAAAAACAGTTCAATTTTTGTAGCTATTATCAAGATAAGATATTTGAAAGATCTTTTAAGAGAATGTTTCAGTAGGTTTAGTGGTACAAAAATTATTCCAGAGATTTCAAACCACTTGCTTCTGCCTCCTGACCTGCTAACTTGGGTCCGTGGTGAAGTTTGCTGCCTAGGATGATTTTTGCATAAACATCTGGAGATTTTGGGTCTGGAACATCAGTCAAGACAAGTCTGTTCTGTCCATCAAGATCCAGATCCAACATTTATGTTGCAACATTATTGTAGTGAGGTTTTTTTGGTAGGCAGTTTTGTCTAAATGAAAGCTTGGATTTGTAGTTGGGTAGTTACTGCTATTGTGGAATAATCTGTACTGAATACCTGTTCTTTGTTTGGTCCAGGTGTTGCAGTGCAGTTTGGAAACTGCATTGAATTCTGTCACCTTCTGTCTTTGTATGAGCAGCTTTGAGCAATACCAAGATTTTCTGTATGTTTCTTCCCCATTTTAAATTATGAGTAATAGCATTATCATAAAGCATAGCAAGATATTAGCTGAATTAATCTTTGTGATTAGAAAACAGTATTGAAAATTGCATACAGATTGTATTAGCAAGAAACAGCG